GAATGTAATTTTTATATGTATCATCAATTAAAAAAAGAAACTTGAGTCCAAGAGAAAATATTAAAATAAAAGATGTTCCTAGAACCTCTGTCATTTGGGAAATTATATGTCTTTTATAAGCTACATGCAAGGAAATAGGGACAAAAACCAAATATATTTTTTGTTATAGGTTACAGTATCATGGGGGGAAGTAATATTTTGACCAATAAAAAGTCTGGGATTCTAAAATTCCTCTCCTAACAACTAGAAGTAAATCTTCATGTGATCTGGACCTCTGCTGCCAAGTCACTCATGGCCCAGCATGCCACATTTGTACCCACAGGATCCTAAGTGCCCTTCCCCCAGGGTTTCCTCTCTGGCCAAAGATTTTAGTCAGTGAGCTTCTCCCTTCACCAAGGCCAGGATACAATTCAGAAGAATCATTTCTGCTTGCTGCCTTTTGGTTCAGTGTGCAATCAGCCAAGTGCGCCATCCATGAGCACTGCCTGATGCTAGGATGATTTCATTGCGATCCATGGGGACCCTTGAGATGCACGCAGTGCACACTGTTGGGGTTCCATCATCTGGGGGAAGGTTTTGAGAGGCTTCCCACCTGCGAAGAGGGGTGCTCAAAGACAGACTTGTTTTCCTGGTGCTGAGAAGTACAAGTTTTGCCACCTCCTTTGGACCACTTCCTCCCAAGTGGATAGAACAGTGCCCACTAAACCATGGGCTAGAGCATGAGTGGCCCACCTAGTGGACATATTTTAGCTAAGGTCTCATGATGGTTTCATAAATACAGATCCATAACCCTTAGCTTCTGATGCTTGATGAGCTGTGAGACTCCACCATTGGTGACAGTCAGGATGATAGCCACTGGACCAGCATCCCACACCCTGAAGCAAAACAACCATGGTATGTATTTGGGACATACCTGAACCCTAACCCAATGCTTCTCAACCTTCATTTTCTCCTCCTTTTTCTCTCCCACCTCCTTCCTCTTTCCCAACCCACAAGAGCCCTTTAAGACATGTGTTTCCCTAGTTACCCTACCTGCATGAAATCTAACAGCACCAGTATACTGTCCCCCCCAAAGCCTGGTGTGTTTGGAAGGTGATTGGATCACAGGGGTGCTATATTCATCAGTGGACTGATCGCTGATGAGTTCAGTAGCTGAATATGCTGATAGGAGGTGGGTCTGGTAGGAAGAGGTAGGTAATTGGGACTATGAGCTGGAAGGGTGTGTTTTCATCTCCAGCACCTCCCTTCCCACTCTGCTTTCTGGGTGCCATGGGTTAAGCACCTTCTCTTCTCTTGTGTGCCTCCACCATCCTGCCTTGGAGCCAGCAAACCATAGACTGAAACTGTGAATCAAAACAAATATTCCTCTTTTAAGTTGTGGTGTCAGGTATCATGTCCAGCGACAGAACGTGACTAAGACAACTTATATCCGTTTGTGTGCTGTGGCCCTAGGAGAGTCACAGACCACTGTAATAGCTCAGAATATTTGTCCCCTAGGAGTCCATTTTCACCCCACTGGACGTGATACCATCTACTGAGAATTAATATTCAAGTCTGAGACAGTTTTGACCATCCAGCCCCAGCTGTGAATAGGGGTGATGTGGGGTGAGCAAAGGGTTGGTACACATATATAACAAGTGCTCCTGTCTGAGATGGGAAGCCACATGGAGTTAGCTTGCAGAGGTGTCAAATGCTGGGAAGGACAGGCCATTCTCCCATGTCTTGAGTTTTCAAATTTTCACTTTTACAAATATTGGGTGACTCTATGGGCAAACACCTTGTTCTGCATTCTAGGTGATTTCAATGTTCTGTTTTTCTTTTAAAAGTGCAGTTATTAGGGTCAAAGGAACCAGCAATACAGCCCCCTGATAAGTGCTACCTATTGATATCCAGGGAGAGTGTACTAGGTATGCACAGGAGTCTACTCTCTGTATTGCTCCCATTATTGAGAGCTATTTGCTGATTTGAATGGCAAGACAATACCTCATCATTGCTTGAGTTCATGTTCTTATGCTTACCAAGGAGGCTGGAATTTTAGATCCCTTTATCTTGTTTAGTGGTGAGAATAAATCGATTCCCTCTGAGTAGCTCATTGATGGTTCCACTCCATTTGGTGGCTAAAGCTTCCCTTTCCTACTGACTTGCCACACCTCCCTAATGCTCTCTGAAGTTTTATCTACATTGGAATCACTTCCGGGACTATTTGTCCTGAATTATTGACATCTTAATGATGGCATCTGCTTGGCTTTGGGAAATCGGTTTTGAATGAATGCTCTCTGAAAGCGAATTTGCGCAGAGAGATTGATTTATGTATCTGCACTCTGGCAAACTCTTGCCTGCAGACACCTAGGCTGTCTTTACTGGCTGGGGCCAAGAAGATAAAGATGTAGCGGAGTTCCTGGTAGAGTTGTCCTTTTGAGCAGTTCTGAGGGTACACAATGTCATGCTGATGACTCATTAACAAACAATGCCCTGAAGGTTTGGTTTTGTCTGTAAAGTTGGCCAAGTCCATATTGTGCTTAGTATCAGCTCTAGCACAAAAGATCCAACAGATCCTGAATTGAACAAAGAAGCAACAAGCAGGAGACATCATTCATTCATTTGATAAGTACACCATGAGTGCCTGTGATGGTATTAAATATCCAAAGATATTTTAGAGCTATTCCTTGACCTTGCAGAATTCATAGTCCAGGTGGAAGTCAAGCGTGCAAATCAGTGACTGGGATACATGGTGATGAATTCCATAATAGATACACATTAAGTTAGCAGGAGAACACACACACACACACACACACACACACACACACACACAGTGATCCACTCTGACTAATGAGAGGAAGGGTCAGGAATAAAAGAGAACATGACATTTTAGCTCCATCCTAGAGAATAAAATGATGTTTACCAGGTGCATTCGTGGAGGAAGGCATCCCAGAGAGAGGGAACAGAGAGTACGTGGGCATAGGGCCTCAAAAGCATAGCATTTTGTGCAAAGGTGGGGAACAAAAGTGTACAAAAGAGATAGAGACTTGAATGCTATGCAGAGGTGGTTTTTCTATTTTTGGTCTAAGATGCCAGTGAAGTTTATGGAGCATGATCAGATTGGCTTTGGGGCAAGTAATCACAGAACATTAATTCTTGGAAGCATTGGCCCACTATAGTTGTCAGGGAAGTAGGTATTGGAATAATGGGGGTGAGAGAGCAGCCACCGGTGTTTAAGAGGTGAAGTCATAAGACTTGGTGACTAAATTTAGGTGTGGGTGATAAGGATGAAGCTCCCACTTCTATCATCATGTACACCTGAGGGTTTTGAGGTCCAGGGAGGAGCAGGTGTGACATGTGGTCATGTTAAGTGGGAGGTGCTGATTGGGCATTGAGATACAGTAGCAAGGCAGTCACGCTTTGCTTAACAGCGGAGTGCACTCTGGGAAATTCATCCTTAAGCGATTTCACTGTTGAGTTAACATTATTGTGTACCTACACGTGCCTAGATGGTACCGCCTACTACACACCTGGGATATATGGGCATACACACATGAGGTGGGATTGAAAAATATGTGTGTTTAAATTTTTTATCACAGCAGGACACATTGCCACTAATTCCCCTCAGAATACCCCTCCTCACTTGAAGCACTATTTATTTATTTATTTATTTATTTATTTATTTATTTATTTTTGGTACTGGGGATCAAACTCGGGACCTTGCGCTTTCGACGCAGGCAGCAGCAGGAACCACTGAGCTAAATCCCCAGCCCACTTGAAACACAATTATCCCATCATTTTTGCCACTTTCAGAAGCAATTCTCAAGTTCTCTTTCCCAGATATCTTTATTTACACTGTCCTGGCTGCCACGATGTCCTGAATTGATTCAAAATATTTCCTTTCCATGGTCGTTTTGACTTTGGGAAGAGCCAGAAATCACACAGTGCCAGATCCTGTGAATAAGGTGGATGTGGACACTGTACTACTTTTGCAAGCTTATCTTTCTGTTGGATGGCACTACCAGCAGCATTCACTGTATTTTTGATCTTACCTCATTAAGACACTTACGAAAAAGGACTTCCAGAGCTGCTTCAGAAAGTAGCAAGAATGATGTGTGTTTAAAGCAAGGGGGAAGATTTTAAGGGTGATTAATGGCAATGTGTCTCTTTACTGAAATGAATTTTTAAAAAGTAAAATATTTATCTTAGTTTGGATCACCCCTTGTATGTATGGTATAATACATTGCTTCTAGAGCCACAATGAGCAAACAAGGTTAAATCAAGCACAAGAGAAAATTAGGCCATCAAAAAATGTAGTAAGCAGGATATATGCGAAGCTGCTTTGAAATAATACAGTACACTGTTTTACAGTAAATGTTATTAGAAGAAGGTGTGTATTCTAAAATAATGGCAAGGGCCAGGGATTTAGCTCAGTGGTTCTGCCGCCTGCCTTGAAAGCAGAAGGACCCAAGTTGGATCACTGGTACCAAAAAATTAAATAAATAAAATTAAATAATGGCAAAAATATAGTAATGTAAATATATAAGAAGCAGTCATTTATTATCATAATCAAGTATTGTGGACCATACTTAATTATATGTGCTGTAGTTTTATACAACTTGGATTTTGTTTATATCAGCATCACCACTAACAGTTGAGTGAGAATACAATGGCTATAATGTTACTAGGTTACAGAAATTTTTGTATCTCCATTATAGTGGTCTGGGTCCATGGTGGCATATGGAGTATGTCCTTGATCAAAACGATGTTGCAGGATATATGACTATACTGACAGGAATTTGTTATACTGGATGTACTAGTAATTGTCAGTGTCTGGTGGTAACTTGTACTAGTAATGCTCAGTTTCGTGGGCTTTTTGAGAATGTTGAACAGTTTTCAGTAATGCTACCAGCTCTTCTTCATTAACTGAGGTAATGTGTGAAGAAGAGCCTGGAGATATTTATTGCACTGGGCACAGGCTCAGCTACTTTTCCATTCACACTTACATCTTCTCCTTCCAGGGGATGGCCAGGTGGATTTTGATGAATTCATGACAATTCTTGGGCCCAAACTGGTATCTTCCGAAGGTCGTGATGGTTTTCTTGGAAACACAATAGACAGCATATTCTGGCAGGTAAGAATTTTTTTAAGATGAACTTTGGCAGTGTATGTATGTTTGGGATTAACTTTTAACTGAGTTCTTGAACTTCTGTTCAGCCCATGAAGTTCTCTTCTGGACTAGAGTGACATACCTTCCTTAAATTCCATGTCCAAGTTAAAGTCCAAACTAGGTCCTCTGAACAGAAAACCCAAATTATACTCATTTAAGATTTGGAGGCGTGAAATAGCTTCCCATTTTTTATTTTATAGCAAAAATTCTGCACTTGGGAGAAATGAGATTCTTCCTTTTCTGATTAAGAAAAAACTTTTTCTTGGGGCACACACGAAAAGGGCACAGTGATATTATGAGTCATTTCCATCCTTGGCCCTGACTGCAGGAGGTGGTTGCTGAGAGAATGCCTGGTGGCCTCCTGGATTCTGCTATCCTTAAGGTGACAGAATGACTTTATCTACAAATTTGTATTCAGTGTTTCTCTATGTGCTTCTCTTTCTGTCTTGTGAGAGATCTCTTAGGAGATTCCCAATATCTGCAATTCTAATAAAATGCTCTGAAATCATTTTCATATTTGTTCTTTAATTTTAAAATGGGACTTATTTCATGATTATGGAATTTGGGAAATGGGTTATTAGTTATTGTTTTAAAAATTTGTCAAGTTAAATTGAATTAATTACCCATTAGATATGTGAAAGACCATTCAAACACAGCATGATTTCTTCAATTTCTTGATACACCTTTTTCTGTACTAAATATCTTTCTCTAACCTAGATAGGGATTGGATTATCTTTTGTCTTATTCAGATGCTCATCTGGCATATAGCATAGGTGTTAAGTAAGAACTTGCTACATACTCTGCAGTCTGTCAGTCATCATGGATTTTACAAGAAGCATTTAAGACTCAGTTTTGAATGTTTAAGAATTTGACTGGGGAAGCACCATTAAGAGAGAGAAAATAATGAAGCGATCAGTGGCTGTGACAGTCGCTAGACTGTAATCTGCTTGAATGCCAGACATTATTGTCATAGCCCCTCACCCTAGCACATTGTCCACAGCAGGCTCTCAGTCACTATATTTCCCAGTAGAATGAATCGAAGTTCAAGAAAGGAGCCAAATAGAGACTTGGACGCTCAGATAAGGCTTCAGAAAATGGGGGCACTTGCTTTGAAGCTTGAAATATGGGTGGGATATAGTACAGAGAGAGAAAAGAGGATATGGCAGGACTGTCACAATGAGAGTTTGAAAAGAGATAGGGTGATAAGCACAGAGATGTCATTGGCTAAAACCATGAAGGAAAGACCTGAGGACCCCTGGGCAGAATGGACTTGGGACCTGTGAAGAAAAGGCAAAGCAGATTTCGGAGTTCTCAGTTTGCTCTGCTAGACAGGAAGAAGACCAGGGAGTACAGACAAGTCTTTGTGGGGCTGAATTCTAATTGAACCTGCTGAATGTCTGGGGGGGGTCAGACAATGAGGAGGGGGAGGGGGAGAGGGAGGAAAGTGCCCGTAGCTGGAATCAAACAGGGCTGCAATGCTGGCAAGAGGCCAGGGCTGAAAACCCTGATTTGGGCTTCATCAGAGCAGTGGGTGAAGTCATAGGCAAGGATGAGCTCACTGGGGGAAGCTACAGGGATGTGGAAGAGCAGAGCCAGGACACGGTCCCAGAGGGCGTCCAGGGGCAGGGGAGAGTGAGGCTGAGCCTCCAAACTCCACACCACTGATGCGCATTCAGGGAACACCGTCTCCTGGAACTGATGTTAGGATCAGGAATTTCTCGGGGACTGTACTCACCTCATGATGAGAATATTTCACAGCTCGTGAAGCCCTTCAGTTAAGCCTCAGTGTGCCTTAGCAGTTGGAAGGGCAGGCAGATGTCTGTGGCAGAAGTAAGAATGAGCAAGGGTTAGGATGATGGAGAAACACTGCTTCCCATCTGCCCATCTTTCCAGTGGCTTCCATCTGGGTTCGCTCTGGAAGGGCATCTGCAAGTTACTTCCCACCCTGGCCTCCCTCCATTCCCTGAAATGATTTCCACCCTCTGCCTACCCACCGGGCCACTCTGGCTTAAAAGAATGCTCCAAGGCCTCCCAAGCTCTCAGCATGCTTCCTGGCTCCAACCTGGAGAGGAAAGCTCTGGGGGTGCCCAGTCTCTACCCCTCTTCCATGTTCCTCACAGTCCAGCATCTGGGGAACAAGGGAATATTTCTCCTTCACTCTATGGGCTGCCTCTGGCATAATTTGGACATGCTATTGTGCTTACCAGGTTATCTGTGTTTTTGTCTTACCAAAGACCTTCCTCTTCATCCGAGGTGATAAGATGGGATGCTCAAAAGAGAGTAGAGGGGGAAAATTCCAACCTGAAATATTTAAACAAATGCTGGAATGCACAGACTTGGGTCTGTGCCTTTCCTCTTCTGCTGGTGCTCACCAAGCTTGGAATTTTATGACCAGCAAACAAGAACAGAAGCATCTGTCAACTCTCAGTACTGGGCCCTCGCCTCCCCATTCCTGCCTGTCCATTCAGAGACAGCATGGAAAACAACACTCAGCATAGCTGCCCTATCCAGTCCTTTCTCAAAAAAAACTTTATACTTTCAGTGTTTGAGTGATTTTTGGAATTTAAAAGAAAGCTCTGTGTGTGTGTGTGTGTGTGTGTGTGAGTGTGTAGATTCACATACATATGTGTGCAAAGACCTCTGCATATGTGTGTCTGTTTACCTAGCCATAGTAGTTGAATATGGTGTAAGAAAGAGGAGCCACAGGAACTTTCTACCTGTGGATATGCAGGCAGGGGATACTGACATCAAGAGGTACTGATATTGAGATCCAAGCAAGCTTCTCATCAGGGCCACATTCAGGTTCCCATGGAAACAGACATGCCGGTATACCTGGAAGGCATACTTGTGATATATAGCTGCATGATCCACTACACCAAAATCTAGGGACCAGAAACAGCAATAGATATTTGCTATGTTGAAAGGCTTCTGTGGGTCAGGAATTGGAAAGCAGCTTAGCTGGGCATTTCTGGCTCGGGGTGTCTCACGCAGTGGCAATGAAGATGCTGGCTGGGGCTGTGGTCACCTGAAGACTCACCTGGGGCCGCAGAATGTTTGTCAAGGTGGCTCACTGCCATGGCTGGCAAGGTGAAGCAGGCTGCGGACAGGAGGTCTGGGGCCTCCAGCATGTAGATCTCTCCTTAGTGCCGCTTGGATTTCCTCTTGTCATGGCAGCTGGCTTCTCTCCAAGCAGATGGCCCAAGAGAGGAACAGGTAGAGGCTTGATGACTTTTGTGACCTTGCTTTGGAAGTCAAAGCACACCATTTCTGCAGCATCCTGTTGGTTAACCAGCTCATCCCTGTAGTGTGTGGGAGGGGACAACCCACTGGTGAATACCAGGAGGCTGGGTCACTGGGGACATTTAGGGAGACTGGCTGCCAGGAATGGTAAAGACTTGGTCAGTGGGCTTCTCCTTCTGATCCCACACTGCTATCATGAGCCTTTCAATTTCCCTGAGCTTTGATCTCTTCCTACCTCAGTGGAAACCTGTGACCAAGGCTGTTGTTCATATTACTGAGAAGTGATCTTACCAGGCACTGAGCTCGTCTTCCTAACTAAATCTGTTTTTCAGTGCACTTTCCTTACCAGTGTTCTAGCCTATGCTGCCAAGGGTAAAATAAAATCAAATGGGATTCTGAAAAAAACCAAACAAAACTATTTATAACTTAGCACTGGTCCCGCCTCTTTGCAGGAAGCTGGTATCTGTGAAGGTGAGCTACAATTGGCTACATGTACAGCTTCCCTCCCAAGGAAGATGGTCTCCTGGCCATGCCCCAGAGTGCCTGGTCCTCACAGGGCCCTCGGCCCTCGGTGTGTGATGCTCACTGAGTTCCTGCCATCCAGTTCCAGACACTCATACATAGTTCATTTATCAAGCTTCTGTGTGTTTACTGATACTGCAGTGATAAATCAGGAGAGGAAATGGGAAGTTGTGTTTGAAGTTGGCCTTAGGACTTGCTATACAGAAATGATGGGGAGAAGGGAAAGAAAGGGATACAGGGGTGTAGATTCAGAAGAGGGGGACATTGTCCTGCTTGATGCTGTAGGTTGATAGTAACTGCTGAGAAGTGGGGTCCTCAGGGGTAATGTTGTTCTATCGTTTCTGTGCAGCATGCACCAGGACCCCAGCTCTTCCAGAAGGTGTGTGGGCCCCCAGATGGCAGAGGAGAGGACTCTGCTACTCTATCACAGAGCTCACACAGCTGCCACTGTGGCCTTTTACAGTGCTCCACCTTCACCTCCAGAGCAGTGCAGCCGTGTTCTGTAGTGAGGTTGCAGACACCAGACAGTTGGCAAGGATCATGGGAAATTAAATGACTTCTCCAGTCCCAGGGTCCAGCCAGCACTTCGGTTATACTCTTTCCCTCTGAAGGGGAGAAATGAGTCCCATGAGCAGGTAGGAGAGCGATTCGTGTGTCTGAACACCTTGGCCAGAGCAATGCTGCAGAATACGGAATGGTGCTGAAGAGCTGGACTCTTCTGATCACGTTTTTGTCTTCTTCACAATCAAGCCTTACTCATGGAGACTTCACTAATGTAGAGGTTCTATCTTAAGAAAGGAAGCACATTCGTATTTTGTAAGCAAACAGATCCATTCATGAGGCGATGCTGGGTGTGTTGGAACAAGTATGGAAACAAGAAACCCATGATAGCTTTCTGGGCTGTGTGTGCCCGGGACATTTAGGACCCCAAAGCCCAGGGAGCCAGGATGCAAGCTTGCCATTGTAGCAGTGAGTTCATCTCACAGCTATGTGCAGTGTCCAAGACACTGTAAATTATCCTAACGTAAAAGTGCACGAGTCGCCCATCACTGGACTTGGTCCAGATCAAGGGCTGGCACTGGGCCCCTAGATGGTCCAGCCATAGCTGTGCTCAGCACCCCACCAGTTCTCCACCCTTCACGTCTGTGGAAGAACACAGCAGGTCTGTTAAAACACCTGCAGCTGCCACCCAGGAATCTTTC